AGTGCTTTTGTTGCCTTGGGTTCCTCATTGGTTTTTATTAGGAAGTCATTCTCTCTCTTGATGATGACATCCTTGTTTCCTTCCCTCACTTTCTCCCATTCTAGGGCCAATTGAATTCTAGATTTTGTGTTTGGTGCTACTACTGCGAAGGTGTGTGGGAAGTTGAATCGTTGATGTTGTGGCAATGTTGTTGTTGTTGTTGTTTTTGTTGTTACGGCTGCTTTTGAGGTGGGTGACAATGGTTGTTGCTCATTTTGATGTCCGACCCATAGAGAAAGTAAAATAATGGGATTTTACTTACTCTATGGTCCGACCTCTTTTCTTGGATTTCGGTCTCAGAAAGTAACCTTCCTGGGGAGCGTGGTCCGATTCGGACTCCCGCGAACTTCCAGGATCCATGCTTATTAGCTATAAAGCCCTGTATATTGTCCGAAATGCGCTTTAAATTTTACTATCGACAAAACAAACTTTTTTCGATTGGAATGTCCGGATTCCTACCGAGCACGTCCTATTCGCAGTAAAGCTATCGCAAGACCTTAATTTTATATTAAATAAATAATTAATTACTATCTTTCGGACATTTGGCATCGCCGGTGGTCGGCTGCTATATGTGACATTTTTTCTGTGTTGGAGCCAACTTCAGTGCATTCAGTGGTTGAAAAGTAAAAGAGACGTGAAAATTCCGGGCGCGTTTTCCTGAAACTTTTGCATTTACCACAGTTGTAGTATAATAGTAAAGTTGTAGTATATAAAGTGCATTCCGAGCGTGTGTTTTGAACGATATATTCGGTTTTTTTTAATTAGAACCGAATTTTACCGCATTCTGAGGTTAGTTCATACACATACAAAGATAATGGAACGCGAGGACTATCAAATTGCCAAGAAAAAGATTATAAAAACCAAGTAAGTGTTACCGGCTTGTAAGGGCTGCGTCCACTACTTTACTTCTATCTGTTTTAGTGACTTACTCGACATGTACCAGGTGAAGATCGATAAGCTGAATAAGGCTTCTCAGGCCTTTAAGCAACTGAAAACTAAGTACCAGAGTGCATGTCAAGAAGCCGAAAGGCTGAAATTGGACAATGAGCAGCTCAAGAACAGCATAAACAAATACAAAACTGATTTAGAGCAAACAAGTAATAACTTTGCACAGTTACAATGCGAATATAGAAGTTTAGAAGCAAAGTATGAGCAAATTATGATCGATTCCCAAATGACAATCACAGAGTTGGAGGAGAAAGTCAAGCAACACCTGAGCAATAAGAACATGGCACCTTCATCTCCAGGAAAAAAGAATGCAGATGACCGCCTTAGAGAGTTGAAGCGATCTTACAGCGAACTAAAAGAGGCTGAGCACCGAAAGGCAGTAGAAAATAAATCGTTATTAAAAGAAATCAATCAGCTTAAAAATGCAGCCGCAAAGGAAGCGGAAAAAATTATAATCAAAGATTGCAAAGAAATAAATGACCTCAAAGATCAGGTAAGTTCCTGCAAACTGTTGATATCAGTTACTATTTTCCAATATTTAGCAAAATGAATGCTTGGTGTTGAGACCGGATGTCTAAGCAAAATTAGCTTTGTATGTATTTAGTATTTTTGGCACCAACATAAATAATCTGATTTTCAGCATCAGCATTAAATTATTTATTTTGGTGCCAGTCAATTTAGTTAAAATTACCACAGAAAATGTCAGATCACTAAATTATTGTTTTTTTACTAACCTAAACCAATCCAACCGCTCTAGTAGATCATTTTAGTTACAGAAAGCAAATGCAACCATTCAAGAACAAAATAGGCTGAACAGTATCGAAAAGTCACACAAAGAAGACAGTGAAACTGAAGTTGCTACATTAAAAAGTGAAATATCAGTTTTGGAAGGCAAATGTAGGTGTTTGACGGAACTTTTAAACAGTGCTAAAAACACACATATTGATCGATGTGATATTTTTACACAGACTGAATACAGTTTACCTCAGGATGCAAAAACCGTGTCCAGTCCTCCTCAAGTCAGGCACTGCATTATCGACTCAGACGAGTTCGCAAGTCTCATGGAGGTAATTAGATTACCATTACTGTCACCTATTAGGTCGGATTCGTCTGATTCACCTAATTCACTCAGCATGAGTAAGTAATATTTTTTATAAGAAATGGAATAGCTTAAAGTACTTAAATCTCAACTTTTTGGCCCATATTTCCCTGAATGCTTAAAAGCTCATTCTTCAAAAACCTTTTTGTGTTGCAGAAAAACCCCGAAAATTGCGGAACAACAAGAAAAAATTACAAGGTAAATTCGATGCGGAAGCACCTCCCCCAGCACCAACAGAAGAAAGTGTAGAACACGGAGAAAATCAACAAAACAATACCTTAGAGAATCAAGACACTACAATCAATTTCACAAACACTTTAAAACGGATTCCGGACACTAAAGAATTCGCTTTATGTGTAGAGGAAGAGGAGCGGCTATATTATAAAGTTGAGCATAATACAGTGTCTGAAAGTATTAGCACGAAAAATGATCAATTTGTTCATGCAAATGTAAATAATTCGTCAGAGGTCAACGATGGTGTTAGAGATATTTGGTCAATGGATGATATGCCTCCAAACAACGCAATACCAATAAAATATATGACCACGCCTTCAAAGACACAACAAAATTTAGATTCATTAAATATGGAAACATCTTCAGCTTCAGGCTTTGAAACCATCGCGCCGTTTCTTTGTAAACATCCGTCCAATGAATCGCTGAATATTCCGCTGGTAAAGCGAGACGAAAAGGATCCGCCGGAATGCACGCCGATGGACTCAAGAAAACGAGTGGACGATTCTTTTACAGAAAATTCAAGTACTCTGCTTCCTGAAGCCCAAAGTACAATTCAACAGTCAAAACAGCATAACAAGTCAAAAACTAAAATGAAACTAAAGGCAAATGAAAGGCGAAAGATTTTGATGCCATACAATACCACTCGATTATTACGAGCGAGAGCCCCGACATTGAGACAGTGCAAGAAATCTGAAGGAGACACAATTCTCAGTGCCTTGCAGCTATTAAAAGCCAATAATATTAGTTTCACCATATCTAGTGACTCACTTCAACCGTTTCCCAGTTTGATGATATGTCCACCAAAGGCTGAAATTCCTTCAGATTTTCAAAGCGATAACAAACCATTTCAATGTCGGACAGTTTGCTTGGACGAAAATTGCACTCAAAATGGCATGTTACTTCAAGAAGCGCGCCAAGGTGAAGAACCAGAACTACTTGGTTTTTTTCGCATTAAAGATGAAGCAACTACATCGCCAGCCGCTGGAGGAACCACAAGTCAACTCCCGGACGTCGTTAAACAGTTGGCAGAACAACTTGTACATGCCCTCAAAGAAATGAACGGATCTAAGAAAAAACAAGTGAGAAAGTGTTGTAAACCAAGAAGAAGTACCAGTTCCGATGATAATTCAAAATCTGAATTTGAACGGATATGCGATGCTCCAGGTGTTCTGCAAAGAAATAAACGTTTGCTTGCAAAAGCCCGAAGGCAAAGTAACAGGTTAAATAATGGAACTAGGAGAGAAAGTGATCCTAATGAATTTTTGGATTCCGGATTGGTCACCGCCACCACAAAGCATGACACGGATAGTCAAAGTTTATTTAGTTATAATGAAGACGAAGTCTTCAAGCGAAATTTTAGATCTTCCTCCGTTAACAGTGATGTAACACCTGTAAGGAAAAATGTTCATATCAGTTACTCGAAAGCATTAGCAGCTCGGAGCTCAACTAAACTACCAACATATCAAAAAATAGATCAAGATCAAGATAACAGCGATTTGTTTCCAAATTTATTCATTAACACTCTGGATCTGGAATGTTCGCCTGTTGAATTCAAATCTGAAGTACGGAACAGTTTTGAGCTGGATGAACTAAGTGAACCAGAGGATTTGTTTGCAGGAAATACCCCTAACATATTTGCGAAAACCACCATGGAATCTAAAGTCGATACTATATCGGTTAATGCTCTAGATTCGGAAGTTTCGTCTGTTGAGTTGAAAACAGCTGAAGTAAACAATGGTTTTAGCGGTTTGGGTACTTCAGTCGATGAGCTGAATTTGGCAGACAGTTTTATTGAAAAGGATAGCTTAAAAATGAATAAGAAGCGAAAAAAGCAAAGTATACTTGCGGAAACCAGCATGGAATCGAAAGTTGATAACCCAGAAACATCAATTATCAGTTTAAATCGGAACGATTCGTATGTTGAATTGACAATAGCGGAAATAAAAAGGAGTTTAGAAAGTTTGGATACTCCTTTAGATGAACCGAATAAGGCAGATAGTTTCATTGAACAGAATAAGAAGCAGGAATTAATTGGAAAAACCAACGCGGAATGTAAAGTTGGTAGCCCAAAACCATCAATTAACACTTTACGTTTGGAATGTTTGCCAGTGGAGTCGAAAAGAGGTGAAGTAAACAATGGTTCTAGCGGTTTGGATACTTCATTCGATGAGCCGAAAGAGGCAGAGAGTTTCATTGAAAAAGATACAGTAAAAAGGAATCAAAAGCGTAAAAAGCAAAACATAATTGCGAAAACCAGCATGGAATCGAAAGTTGATAGCTCAAAACAGTCAATTAACACTTTAAATCGGACCGATCCGTCTATCGATTTGAAAATAAACGGTAGTTTGGATACCTCTTTAGATGAACCGAATGAGGCAGATAATTTGATTGGACGAAATAAGCGTAAGAAGCAGAACGTAATTGAAAAAATCAGCACGGAATGTAAAGTTGATAGTGCAGAACCATCAATTAACACTTTCCATTTGGAAGGTTTGCCAGTCGAGTCTAAAACAACTGACATAAAAGATGGTTTTAGCGATTTAGATACTTCTCTAGGTGAGCCGAATGAGACAGAGAGCTTGACTGAAAATAAAAAAACGAGTGCAATAGTGGAACCTAGATTTGCTAGCCCAAGAACCAGACGTTCACAGGTAAAAATACCAGCATTGGAAACCCCAAGTACCAGACTTATACAGCTGCGAAATAAAAGCATCCAAGTGGAGCCCAAAATCGAAAAACCCAAAAAAGTCAATCAACAGAAATATAAGCGGAATTCACCTATATGCAGTAACGAATCGGAAGTAGATTGCGACCATGTTCAACAAATGACTTGCTCCGGCAAAGTGGCGAACACAGACTCAAAAAAGTTAAATGAAAGCAGCAGCACAATCAAGAAAAATTCAAAAAATGTTCGTAATACCAGAGCAAAGTCAAAGCGAATTACGAGATCTTCGCCAAAAATAATCAGCAAGGAGTACGTTTCCGGTTCAAGTAGTGATTGTTCCGTTAAAGATGAAACTGATCGCGCATATTTTTCCGGCAACGGCTTAAACACTGAACTAAACCAAGAGAAAAAAATTGTGAAATCGCCGATTCGTTCGTCCTCAAAACGAAAGCTTAATATCGGTGTTGCAGTCAACAGGAAATACGACACTAACCAGCTTTTCGGTTCCGAATCAGATTCTTCTGATCAAGATCTAGCTGATTTTAAACCCAAATCCTTGCTAAAGGAAGACGTTCCAGAAATTGGCCGCGTAGAATTAACAGACGAATCTAAGCAAGAGGTAAGTTGTCAGATAACCATTCCAAGCGCGGATAATTCTATTTTGAACAAATTTAATGGTACAGTAGATGAAAATTTGAAACCAAAAATATGGTCCGAAAATGCGCAAATCCAGAGAGATGAAATCGCGGATCAAGACGAGCTTCAACGTTCCTTGAAAAGGAACTTTGATGAATTTAAAACGCGGTATAACGACAAGTACTTGAAGCCAAAGCCACTTAAGGACGATGTCGATATTTCTTTGGATGAAAAAATTAAACCTGGGTTTGTATGGAATATCGTCGATGGCCAATCAGAACAGAAGGAAAGCCGCTCAGCTGTGAGTGAATCAACATTGCATCTAGATAAATCTACTTGGAGCTGCACTCAAGAAGAGCTAAGAGAAATGCGCGAAAATACCAAAGGAAACAAGATCCACATTATACAAAACATTGTTGTGCCTGCAAGGGAAACTTCATATTGTGCAGAAAAGTCTGGTCAATCCGATGTAACTGTTCAGCAGAACGGTATGATTCCCGGTGGTCTACCAGGCATAACTAAGAGCGCACTGCCGTTAGCAGCAACCTCATATTGTGAAGAAAATGATAGCCGATCCACTTCTGATTTAATTGATTACAGTGACATGATATCGGACGATTGTCCAGCAGCTTTAAATTTGGAAAGTGAAGAATTTGCCCCAATATCGTCTGAGAATGGGGACTTCATTCCTAATTCAATGGAATCGCTGGATTCAGGCCAAAATCCACCATCTGGTAAAAATAAAGTTATGAATCGCAGTAAGTAATTGCAATAGAACACTTATTTTATTATATAAAATTAATTTTCTTCATAATCCTTTTAAACGCTCAAATTTCGATTAGTCAAAAATTTCATGAACCTAATTGTTTTAGGCGAAATATTGAATACAATGAACCGACTTATAATGTTCTCAGAAGACGTGGATGTGCTTAACGAAACAGCTCAGAAATTCTGTGATCAAACAGTTGACTTCATAGCATAGTAAGTTGAATCCATATACAGGGTGATTTATGTAGACCGTGCATTAGGAGGTTTGCAACTTACAGTTGTTTTAGAAACTTTAAATGTTCTTTTAAACCTTCCAATTGCGAGTTTGAGCATCCCTAGTCTTGTTAACTTACATCTTGTAGTTTTTTGTGTCAATTGTTTAACAAAAATGTCATGACTGGTGTTTAAGGAACAAGCTATATCAAATTAACGTTTTAAATTAAAAACCCAAATTTGGTAGGTAGTTAGCTGAAAGCCCAAGCTAACTCCCCGTATGAGTTTAACGTACCCATTTTGTAGCATATGGGTGCATGCAGTCTACAAACATTGATATAAGAAGAGCCGAAAAATCCGTTTTTTAATGGCACCTTCAATCTTTTTTGGTTGGATACCTTCACAAAACTAGGTTTTGCCCAAACTTGCAATTGGAAATGGATAATCCAACCATGTTAAAGAAATTAGGGGTTTGCATTTAAAATGCAAGTTGGAAAACTTCTAATGCGCTAACTACTCAAATCACCCTGTTTACATATGCGTTCTAGTGAAAGTGTTAAAAATTTACCTGTTTACTTCTTGTGTTTAGCGTTTTTCTGGAAAAGTTGTGCGTCGATATCTTTGACAAACCAAACAACGATTGCCCGCCAAGTCCCGTGATGACGGCCACGCAGCGAATTGTATTAGGTAATTGTTGTTTACAAATGTTTTCATTCATGAAAAAATGCAAATTTTCAGGATTTTTGACAAAACTCGATAACACGACGCATAAAGGAATTCTGAACAAATTCCTAGACGTTGCCGATTTGCAACTGTTCAAAAAACCGCACGATGTAAACATTATTGAGCCGATTACTCGAGTTTATACAGCGATTTGCAGGATGCAATTGAACATTAATCGAATGCGTCGATTTATCTGTGAAAGTTTCTATTTTGCAGACGAATTTGCCAATTCCATTTTCTTCATTGTTCTTACAATGTGGGGCAATGTAATGCCGATGGCAGCGGATGTGGCGAGTAGGAACCTATTATTAAAACATTTCTGATGAATTATCAAAAAATCTTTGTTTGCAGAATATCCTTTGGCCAAAATAATCATTCAACTTTGTTATACAAAGAAGAAGCCTGTGCCCCAGATAATGCCTCTGCGGGATTTGCTGCAAAAGTACTTCGGATATCCTGCAGATCCTTGGAATTCTGATGAACTATTCGAAGAACTTTTGGAGAGCTACATAAGTAAGGTCGCATAATTGCATCTCAATCTGTTCTGTAAGTTTCCTGTTTTCTAGAAAATCCATTCGAAAGACAGTCGGACTTCGCCATACTACTGTTTTTTAAGAGTCAGCCGGCTAAGTGGGTTTTCCAAAAAGTCAAAAATCACCTTATGTTGTTGTTTCAAAGAATACCGAACTCCAATTCTAATCTGAGAGCAAACCTGATCATATTTATGGGGAATATTTGCAGTGCGTTCAAAGCGCACATTGATGAAGAGTGGCTTTTAATTCTCGAAATGAATCAGTGGTTTGAAACGATACAAAACGGTAATTTAAAAAAAATCGCATAATATAATTTACTAAATTTTGCTTTTTCAGTGGAACGAGATGCTGTGGTACTAAAAAGTATCATCCTGGCTAAAAACCGGTTGCCTGTAAGGCGCCCAGTTAAACGAAGAAAGGGAATAAAATCTGTTAAAGTTGGAGAAACTGCAAATGAAACGCGAATTGGGGCGACATAAACGTACCAGTGCTCAGTGTAAATAGAATCGAGTGCGGTACTGAATGGGAAGATAATTTTCCTGACAAGAAAAGTGTGATACCAAACAAAAGACCATGTAAATGAGGTGTAATATATAATGGGAAGAAAACGACAAAACAATAAGCCGTAGTCGTTAAATAGTGAGATACTAATTTTAATGATAGACGTATTTTTAGTGAGTTGAAGGCTTTTTGCAAAATACATTTTTTTTTTATTTGGAAACTTTTATTAATAATTGATTATTAAGACGGCAAATCAATCAAAGGAAGTACAAAACTCTGATTAACACGTTATTTTTGCAGTATTCACAATTATGAAATAAACTTTTCACTTGTAGAAAATCGTTTCCATTCTATGTGTAGCAGATATAAACTCAGTAATTTCGACAACAAAAATTTTTATTGGGCATCCAAAACATCAACAGTAAAAATATTCTTGCGACTTGTAAACAATCGATAACAGCGTTAAAAATAAAGTGTTTTGTAGCGCAACGAATTGTATAAAGGCCATTTACAGGCATTTTCTGTATATGCAAACTAAATATAAAGTTTGGCGACTTTACGGCACTGATAAATTATGTAAAAAATGCAACAGAGACTTTGGAACTTAACTGTTAGCGAGTATTTTGCTTAAAATTATAGATTTACAGCTGGCCCAACTCTTACGTGTTTCAACGGTTGGAAGACTGAAAGACCGCGAATTTCACCTTCTACGTTGTTGGCATAAATGTCTGAGGCTATTTCGTCCAGGCCAATTTCCTTTTCGGCTTTGGCTTTTTTCGTCGCTTCGTCAATTTCTGTTCGAATTTTTGCATCAATTTCCTAGAAAGAAAAGTGTCTCGGATACGGAACGCGCGTGCAATTGGTGAAATAGCTTACCTTGATTTCTTCGGCAGTAACCAAATTAGAAGTGATAATTTTCTCTTTGAAAGATGTGATGGGATCCCTGGTTTGCCTCACTTCTTGCACTTCTTCGCGGGTTCTGTAGCTGGTTCCAGGATCGGACATGGAATGGCCAGAATACCTACCAGAAGATCATAGAAATGATGTTGCACGCGCTGAAATAAGCCGGATTCTACCTGTAAGTCTGGGCCTCGATAACAATTGGCCCATTTCCAGCGGCGCAATAGTTAACAGCTAACCGGGCGGCTTGCCTAACGGCCAAAACATCCATACCGTCAACCCAAATACCAGGAACGAAATCTCCACGAGTATAATATTCAGTGCTAGCTGCAGCTCTCACTGCACTAGTTCCCATACCTTCGCAATATACCATTGTCAAATGTAAGTAGCACTAGGTGATCTTGTACCCACCATATCCATTGTTTTCACACACAAAGATACAGGGGATGTTCCATAGCTTGGCCATGTTGTATACTTCGAATACTTGGCCTTGATTAGCAGCACCATCTCCATAAAGCGCAACGCATACGCCGTCTGTGCCTTTGTATTGAGCAGCCAAGGCTACACCTACGCCTAGTGGTACCTGGAAAATAAATTTATTTATTAACTCCAGGTGGACGGAGGTATTTTGCGATAGATGAGCCTTACTTGGGCGCCAACAATTCCATTTCCACCGTAGAAGTTTTTCGTGTACATATGCATAGAGCCGCCTTTTCCTCTGGCGCAGCCAGTTCGCCTTCCAGTCAGTTCAGACAGTACCTCAATTGGAGGCACTCCCATGACGTACGTCCATCCATGGGCTCTGTAGGCAGTGATTACACTGTCCTGAGGTCGGAGTGCGTGCTTGAATCCTACAGCTACAGCTTCCTGGTGAAAATGATCGCAACAGTTTACGTAGGTCAAGCTACAGGCACAGAAATTACCAACCTGTCCAGCGTACAAGTGGCAAAAGCCTCGGATAATTTTATCTTTGTACAAGTTGCCTGCAGAGGTTTCCATCCGACGAATTGTGTGCATTTGCGTGTACATGTCCAATGCTTCTGCTCTGGTTAGAGTTACGTGAGTTGAAGGACCTTCTGCCAGTTTATGGAGCTTGAAAGGCTATAAGAATTGTTTTTTTATACAAGGAGCAAGTTATAATAAAAATTGCATGAAAACTAATATGACATCCACATGACATTTTTTATTCCGTATTGCGAGTGAATAGTTGTCTGCTTAGTAGGGTTGGCGTAAACTGATTTAAATGTCACGAATTTGTTTTTTGCAGAAACGCTCGTACACGTCAATCTTGAGTTTTGTTTTTTTGATATATTTATGAAGAAAAAATGTATTTCTTCACGAAAAGTTCTGCGTGATCTAGAACATCAAATGCAACTATTTGCTGATAGTATACCAGGATTTTGCGATCCAGTTAGCGTATTTTCAGGTAAGTGTTTATCAAATTAAACATTTTGATTGAGATAATTTTACCACTCAAATTTACCTTCGTTTCGAATTGGGTCTCCCCGGTGGTATGCCCAGACCCATTTCGGCTAATGAGTCCTAGAGCTTTCTGAAATGGGAAAATCGAGATTAGCCCAATCAGCCTCCCCCAGCGGCTACCTTAACCTTAAATATTATGTAATTTTTTTTCCACTACAACTACAATGCAAAGTGAAATTTACATTGATATACTGAGACACCCTTTTAGCCATGCTGTAGTTAAGTCAGCACCTTTCTGTTAAAATACTCGGCCACTTGAGTTGGCTGTTGTTAGGTTGCAACCCAGTTTTAATCTAAAATAGTGGAATATCAGTTGGATACTCACATTGGCTGGGATATTTTTCTTACAAACCGATCGAACACAAGCAGGCAACATTTTCCAGGAGGTTGAATTGAGGTGATGGAGTCGAAATTAGTGAAAAATCCCACTTTTATCACAACCTCTTCCGCATAGAGGTCATTTAAATGATATATCAGCCAGTGACGTCGCTCTAATGTCTCAAGCCGTTTGTCTGACGTATTTTGCGAGTAGCCAGTTGGATTTGTTAGAAAAATCAATGACGCAACTCAATAATTTTTGTTATTGCAAATTCTTGAAAATTTACTCCCATTCCTTTCACTTCAGTTTATCCCCCCATTCCCAGCGCTTTCAACTTTTTATTTTTTCCTAAATGTCGTTTTCATAGGGAATATGAATGTTTTGTTTCGGAAAATATGCTTGGCTATTTTCTTCCGCCGAAAACCGCTGCTCTTAACAATTACAATTTTGTTTATTAACACTGAAAATACGTATTTACCCAAACTTTATAGATATTAAAATCACCAACTTCGTCTCTTATGTCGCGTATGTAAGACAAAGATAGATGGTCTAGACGTTCAGGCATTGTGGGTAAATAATTACTTTAAGTGTCTCACAAGCGAACTTCGAAAGTGTAAAATTGAAAGTGCATTTTTTGTAAATGTTTGTAAGTTGGCATTTATACTTTTGTTAAATTGTATTTTATCTGTTCCATCTTTATATTGCTATTTATGCTCGACATGACAAAAGTCGAAAATAAACGGAAACTGGGCATAAATAAGTCGCCTGAATTATACCACTGTTCACAACTATTTAAGACACTGTAAGTACTGATATACTCAAAATTTATATTAAATTAATACCTCAAACATGCGGTTGAGCAAAATTATGTTTTGCTAAAGAGCGTTCTTTTCGGGTCAAGTTGAAGAAACATTTTTAAACGGTCTTTAAAATCGCCCACACCTAGCAAGTAAGTTATTCAATACATATTCCCTCGTTTTATATAAAGAAACTCAAACACGCACGAACTAACGAGAGTAAAGTAAAGAAGGCCTTAGTCCAAAAAATGGTAGAAAATAATACATTTCATTGAAATATAAAACATTGGGCTGTGGTTGAATTACAATTCGGTTTATTTTTCTGCTTGCGCGCTAATGCTCTCTACGTGCATTGATGGGAGTTTCAAATGTTGACCATTATCGGGACTCCCGAAGTCAAAATATCCCGAACCCACCCTTGGGGAATAAATAGTGACCCCAATTGACATTTTTTGGGGTTGAAACATCGACAACCCTAAATACTAACTGACTTTTGTCTTTTTGTTGACATTTATTTTTTCCTCTGACGCGCGTGTTGTTACCTATGCTACCATCTATGTGGGAAATTAAAACTATTTAGTGATAATATTCATCAAAAGATGGTGGGATAGGTAGACGGCGCGTCAGGTTTGAAAATTAAGTTTCACCAAACAGTATTTTTTAATAATACTATGAAAAATCACTCCATTTATACTAAACAAATATGCAGTAAAGGAGGCTGGCTTGAATATTATTCGAAGCCCATAATTGTTTCAATTCCGGTGTTTGCTTCTTTGGCCAGTTGTTTTTCAAATGAACACTCCTTTTATATTAGATATGTAGTATCTGATTTAAGTTATGAAAAAGTTGTTGAATTTGAAATTTTATGTTTTTTATGTACGTAGGTATTTCCAAAATTTCGGGTAAGAGAAGCAAAAATATTTCGGAAAATGTTGACAGTTTTTTGGCAATAGAATACCCTGTATATTATTGTATATTTGAAAAGCACAATTTTCTCTGGTTCTAAAAGTGCATGCAGTGAAATCCTAAATGAATACTGAAATTGAAACCATTGGTAAATTCGAAAAAAAGTTTGGCAATTAAAAGACCAATAAATTTGTTTCTTAGTATTTAGAAAACACGGAGCAAAACCGACTCTCCGACTTTCTCCTCGCAACTTTAAGTCAGCGTTTTCCTGATTTTACTTTAACGATTTTTTGCATCGACGTTTCGTTTTCAAGATACCGTTATTAACTTAATTTTTTAAACTGCGATCCTGTTTTTTTGTTGGCAAATTGTGAAAGCCCCTTTATATTCTGATTTCAACGATGATCTTATACATCGTTGACGTTTAGTAATATTTTGATCGGCTTTTCAATAATTCTTCGAAAAAATTTAAACACGGTCCTGTATTTTCAACGCTGGTACTCACAGTATAGCACCGGTATTGAAATTCACGAATCAAATAATTTAATAATTTTATATAAAAAATTTCACATTTTCCAAACACATACACTGATGGACAAAATTAGAGCACCATCTATAGATTTCAAAGAAAAATTATTATAAACCCTACATACTTTTATCAAATTTTAAATTATTGTTTTTTAAATTAATATGAGAATGTTTTCGCCAGAAAAATTAAAACAAAACATGAATCACAAGTTTATCAGATTTTTGGTAAAAATTTAAGGAAAATCCATTTTGAAGTTCAGGTAATATTTCGGTCTTTAACCGATTCAATAGCATGTATTGCCGCCTCTAGCTCGAATAACGTCCCTCAAACGTCTTGGATTGTCATAAAAAAGGTTTGTAATTAATTATTGGGGAATGTTGTGCCATTCTTGAAGAGGCGCGTTTTCCAGTTCCCGTAAGTTCACAGGAGTAGAATCTTGTCGTTTGAGCTGATCCCAAGCATGTTCAAGCACGTTAACAGAACTACGCGCTCACGACATTGTTGCCATCCTTCTGATCTAGTTTTTTCAAAATATCTCAGTTTTTAATAACATTTAATTTCTTTTACTATTTTTTTCGTACACCCAAGACACCCCTAGACAACACCTCCAGAGGAATGGCGTCAATTGTGAATCACCCTGTATAGAACTGTTCGACACAATTTATCGGTTTCTGGTCGAGTGTGAATAGGTTGATTTATTTTAGGCAGGTAAATTTATGAGTTTTTTTTAAGCATTTCTGTAAGACGTAAGATCACCCAATGGGTAAAGTTACATTTCGACAAATCCTGTCTATTCTCTAGTATCAGATGATGCGATTTATACCTATACATCTCATCAGCGTGAAATTATTTAATCCATTGTCAGGACGTTTAGTAGACACCACACGCGATCTCTCAAGACGAAAGATAACGGGATTTCGGGGACATGCATTGTCTTATTCCAAGAAGGCTTTTGGAAACCTTGTACTCGATGTCAGCCTTTTTCTTTAAAAGTGGAGAATGTCAATTTTGACCGAAAAATAGTTAATGATAAAAATTAACACAATTTACGATACAATTTTTCCCGTTTTAACCGTAGATAGCGCACTAGTGCGGTAATAAACATCGTTGTGACATTTTAAAGAGTGCCAAATCATAGTCATCATACAGGGTGTCCCATAAGCACATGAAGAAAAGGATACTGCGACATTCTTTGGCTCAAATGAACACGTCTTGTTTTGATCCAAAGAATCTCGCAGTACCCTGTTGATCATGTGGTTACGGGACACCATGTATAACAGTTGTAGAGAAAAGTAAAGTAAGTACCTAAGTATAATACACATAACGCTCCTAGTTCCCAAGCGGCGTAGGTAATTCTACCTATTTTGTGAATAACCAGGAAATCTTTGTGCTAGAGCGAACCGATTTGTTTGCGGGGTGTCTCTGTTTTCCAAGAAATCGAGTGGTCTTTTCCTTCTTAATAGCTGTGAAGAGATCTTTTGCTCTGGAATTTGAAACCTGAAAGAACATAGGTATTCAACTTTTTTTTAGAGTCACACTTTTCAGAGACAGTTTCACTAGTCAAATGCCGTATAATTGTTAAGATGGGGTAGTCCTGCTGTGAAAACCACTAAAACGCTTGGTGGTCTATTAAGGTCTATTAAGCAGTTTTATAATTTTTGCCCTTTTGCTTTTCCGACTTTCCTCATTTTTCAACACTTTCAAGCTAATTGTCTGTTAAAGAGATGGCTTAAGAGAGATGTTTCAATTACGTGAACCAATTTACTAGATCTGATAATCCTAAGAAAACCGACATTGAATACAGACTAGTTTTGCTTTAGACCGACTGATGTTTATTCAATTTGAAAAAATCACGAATTACCAAAAACATTCCAGTTTCAGTAAAAATGACTGGTCTGACTAGTGTTCAGCAAATTTATTAAATTTCCAATAAGAATTGCCGAATTTTAGCACATACGCTCATACAGGATCGCACATTTAAACAAAAGTTAAGTTTGATATGTTACAGTTTTTTCACTATTCAATCCTACATTGCATAAAAATCATTGCACTCCGATTAGTCACAAGCACTAAAATCATTCCACCGCGTCTTGGTTGCACCACCCTGTATAATGGCAAGTAGAATTAAATATTCTGGCCATTCTATTTGAATTCGGAGCGCATCAGTTCAGTGGATAGAAGGCGCTTATTTGTGTCGGAAACGCGTAATCCGCCAATACCTGTTGAAGACCGCAAGCAATCGGGCAGTGGACTGACTCGTACATCATTACAAACAACAGTCCATAAATTAGTGAAATAAGTATCCGAAGAAGAAATTAATCACCAGCATAATGATGTAGTGGGAGAGTTTCTGGCGGGCCTACGATGTTGTCGACTTCTTTGTCGTCCGTTTGTATTAGGACCTTTTTAAGAAATTTGAGTTTACCCCAAAAAGTTAGATTGTTGAGATAACACCACTTACTCCAAAGATCTTGATTCTTTTGACCCTGGTAAAAATTACATTAAATTATTGATATCTCATTTAGACAAACGAGGTGCGCAAATATTCTTCTATACTTCAGCTCCAGAGAAATAAAATTGGTGCCTAATCAATGTTGGAGCTCTTGGATATGTCAAACCTCTGATCTGGGAAGTCCGGGCTGCTACTTCAGTTAAAGCACCTACTTATTAAGTCACAATCTGAAACAATTCAGCTCTCAAGTAGTTTCCACCTGGATACACTTAAAATAACTATGCGGTGCTTGAAAGACTTTAGAGCTTGATTTGGATGACATCACGATGAACCAGGTTCAACCCAAATGCTTCTAAGAAAAGTTTATGTTATTTTGAATCATATCTTCCACATCCACCTTTGATGCCTGTGCCAGGGCATCAGAAATCGACCGTATTTCTTCTTAAGAGGGCGTCCAAGCAGCACTTAATTAGCACAATAATAGTGGCTCTTTTTGTAATATGATCTGAAAGTGATGGAAAAAAATCTGAAAGTTTCAAATAAAAGTGACTAGTCACGGCTCAGCAAGAAACTCAGTAGTTTGTGACACTGGTGAGTCTTTCAAACTAAGGTCGTGAGCTATGAGAGGCTTTTTTTTTTTTTTTTCGGTGAAGTTTGGGAAATGCTCTTTTATGCACTCCCAGAGCTAGTGGTCTGTCGCTCTGGGTTGTGTGGGACTCCAGCTAAACTGTTTACCCACTAAAACCCTTTCCTCACCGACGAGGTGGTGTTTGGCCTTGCACCGCGGTCATTTCTGTCCTATTGTGCCCTCGTAATTTCACTCCCTCATTATCCCTGTATATTCAATGAATTCCAGAAGAATCTTGAGGGGAGTTCGCATGATCTGGTCTGGTGGAATTTCATCCCCTC